GGCAATGACATCATTTACCCTTTTCTTATCTGTGACACTGTGGTGGTGCATTACATCCTGCTTCCAATGAGTGACAAATTAATATTTATACATTTCTGTACTTCAGGCACAATCTGTAACTGGAAATATCTTGTCATTTTAAATGTTTCATCATATATATCACATAGAACATATAGAATCAGCTGATGATATGCATTACATCAGCTCAAGAGCTTTTTCTTTAAATTCTAGAAAGTTTAATCAGGCTGCATCATGATCTTTCCCACCCCTCACAGATAATACTGAAACAATCTCCAAACATGTGTAAATGCCTGTAGGTTGGGCATCCTGGACTTACAGAAGCCTCAGGATTCAGTATGGCTGTTAGTAGGTCCCTGAAATTCTGTTCCTGGAAACTAATATTGAAAATTATATATCTAATAAAAACACCACCACCTTATATTACAACATTAACTCCCCTACATACTGCTTTTCAGTTGGAAGTATGCCAACTAGAAATGGCTTAGAAGTGACAGTTAGAAATCACCTAATGCTTTTAAACAGATCAATGCATTGAATACCTCATAGTTGTAATATGGCTGGTTAATGACTCCTGCTATTGCTTTGCCTCCATAAGCAATTCCAATAAGAACTGTTACGTGGTCAAGGAGACCTGTACAGAAATATTATTAATGTAGTTATGCTTGAAAAAGAGCATATATATACTAAAAAAACTCCCTTCAGTAAGTCCACAAATTGATATGCCGGGTGGATCTTAAAAATGCAAATATGAATCAGGACTTTCAGGTGTAATAGGGTGGTTGATATAATTTTTTTAGTCATTTAGCCTTGATGTCTCCAAAAAAAAAAATGCCCCAGATAGAATTCTCTTAATAAAACTACTTTATAATTAACACATAATGAGAAAGAAGTTTAAAGATACAACTAAATAGCAGTATATTATGCTATTCTTCTATAATTGTGGTGTGAATTCTTTAATGGTATTCAAAACTAGCAATTTCTTGACAGTTGTACATCTCTTTTCCTGAGAAGGGGGAAATAAAATCTGCCTAAAAGTTTTTCACATTAAACTAAAAGCCCCAGCAGGAGGCCAAAGTGAGGTTTCAGCATATTATTTTTGGACGTTTTTCTTTGTTTTGTTTTTTGTTCCTTCATTTTTAGGGTCCATTTCTACGGAGACAAATTAGGCTTCGCTGAAAAAATTTTGTTTGCGAAACTGAAGAATTAAGATTTGCAGGAAGATGTTTTATTCTGAAAGGGCTACAAATACAGCTGTGGTATTTGGGCTGTTTGAAGAGGAGGATGTAAATATAATTGAGCATATTCCTGTGTGAATGGGAGATTTAGTTCCTGAATTCAAAGTATATGCAAAATTGTAAGTTTGACTAAAAAGTTAAGACAACGTGTCAGCAATCAAAGGCAGCCCTTTGCTCCCTGAAATGATAAAAACTGGTGGACACTCAGTAGCCCATCAGGAATATTCAATACTGGTTAGAACTGAATGGAATGATTAAAAAAATCCATAGAACTCCAGAAGCAACATCAGCCTTACGAAACAATATTCTATGTAACTTCTATCATAAAACTATCTACATGCTATAATTTTTTTTTTTTAATCAGGAGAATTAAAAGAGAAGCCAACCTTCAGTGTACTCTTTCGTTCCATCCAAGGGATCAACCCATATTACAAGCTTTAAAAATAGAAGAATAGGGAAAATTAAGAAATACAATTCATGTCAATTAGCATGCAAAGTATATATTTTATTTTAGTGCTTTTATTTCCTTATGGCAATAAGGAAATAAAGATATGCAAATTTTTAACATTATGATATGACTGAAGCCTACAATAGTAATTTACACAAAAAAGCTTAAAAACTGACTGGAACTTTCCAGCAAATATCTTCATAGAGGTATGAAGGCTTAAACTGAACACAGAAATGACATTACTTTCATATGTCCCAAACAGATTCCTTCCAAATTAATTTGAATTACAAGTTCTAAGAAGCAAATTTCCATTTCTCATTATTGCATACAGAGATATGCAACATATCCAACTCTGGAGGTGCAATTCTCATGACTAAATTTCAGTTTTCAAACCCAAAAGAAAAATTTGCAACATTGAAATAATCCTTTTTCTTAATACATTATTAGCTAAAATCAGTAAGTAATATAGATAGTGTAAAATATGAAGACATATGTATAACATTATCACATTACCTCTTCCTCTTTAATTCCTGCGTACTGAGCAGGACAAGTTTTATTCAGTATTTCTTCACAGTTGCCATCTTCAATTAATTCCTCAGCTACCTCATCAGTGGGCAGTTCCTAATAAAAGGATTCTCAGAATTACTAGAAAAAGGTGTTGGACTCACCTGAATTTGCCTTAGAACCGTAGATTTGCTTGCAGCTTACTTGAAAAAATGGATGCAATGGAAAGATAAAATGGGATACTTTAAAAAGTATTTAAAAGTTGAGTTGTTTTTTTAAAAAAAAACAAACCCACAAACAGATTATTTCCTAAAACCTGCCAAAGCAAATTCCACTGCAAGTTACAGCAAGTTAAATTTTTAGTATGAAATAAACTAAGTACTTACTTCTTCTCCTATGATTGTCACCTTGGGAAACTTCCGTGCCAGGGAAGCACAAATGCTCATCTGTACAAGTCGGTCAGCTTTGGTCTGCAAGTCATTGGCTCCGGTCTGTCAAAGGAGGGATCGGAATTTGTATCAGAGAGGTGAGGACAGTATTTCCTTCCCCGGTTGCTGATCTTCAAAACTATCACTTGGACCTGTATCTAACTTAGCATTACTAAGAGCAATTAAACTGGAACAAAGTAAAAATAATACCTTCTCCACTATTCCCAGATCTCCTGCAGACATGACATTTCTAACAATCGTTGCAGCTTTTTCTGCAACAGAATACGCAGAGGCAACCACACGCATGAGTAGAGCTGGAGAAGCCATACTGAATGCTGAAAAGGAACAAAAAGCAAACTTGTACATTTCACTCTTCAAGAGAAGACAAGAAGGAAAATATTTTACATAACATTGCAAACAGATACAGTTTTAAGCTGAGTAGGAAGGGGAAATTGGCTTACTGCCAGCGAGTAGTAATGAAGTGAGCATTGACTTTTTTAAACATAGAATTAACATATGTGTTACACTTGAATTAAATAAATAAAATATTCTAAGAATAATGTATATGGATAAATAAAAGTTATAACTGTAGAAGTAGTTATGTTAAGGTTTGATTTTAGGGTAGGCCTTAACTGGGAAACTTGCCCTGGGAAACAGGTGCAGAGAAGTAAGAAACAATATTCAAAGGATTTAATAGAGCATGTAGAACACAAGGAAATGGCAGTTTGTTGTTAGTGATTTGTTATTAGTTAAAATATAACATACCAAAGGAATTATGGTGGTGGGAGCTAAGTTAGATAAACAAACTCATAGAAACTTATAGTATTAAGTAAGCTGAGCATGCAAGATTTATAGTTTAGGTGAAATTTGTAATTGTTTGTAACTTGTCATCTGAACCCTTTATTTCTATGATGGATGTAACTGCTTGTAACTAAGGGATGTGTATCTCTGCACGTAGACCAAGCTGTAATAAGGTATAAAAGCTGAAGCAAAAATGAGGGTCATTGGGATCCTGACTTTGGACGATAGTCCTCAGGTCCCCGGGCCCTAAATAAAGCACCGCATAAACTGACACACTGTTAGTTTGTGTTCTTTGTTCTACGGGCAACATATGCAGAGGTATAAAGTTATTTTAGACAAGACTTTTCAAATATCCCCGCTCTGACAGTGAACCTAGTTTTCCTTACTAAAATAAAATCTCGCATTAAACAAGAACAGCAGCAGCAGCAACTTTATTTATAATAATGTTAAGAAATACTCATTTTTTGTACATTTTGACCATAAGTTCATTTTTTCAGAACTCAACCTATAGAGTTGGTTTGTGCCCAGACTCAAGCACAAGGCTACCAGACAGGATGACAAGACTTTACTTATTATTTTTATTTGTTTAAATATAAAATAGGCTTTTGTAGATGGCCTAATTGTGGACACAAAATAGGCTAATGATGCAGACACTGCAAACACTGCGCTTGTATGTGAAAGTTTGTTGATCTAAATTTTACCATCCTTTCTGTATTTCTGTAACTTCTCTTGATTTCTTTAAGGAAATCTATTACATCTTCCTTCCTCCCGTGAACGCTGCCTGTCCTGTAATTCTTCCTGTTGCACTGTCTTCAGTGGCTGTTCCCCAGCAGAAATCAGTGCAATTCACTACGCCTTCAGCTCCCAAATAGAAGAATAGCTATCACTCTTGCAAAAGGCCAGCAATCATCAATTCCTCGCAGCTTTTCTCTATGCCAGGAAAAAGAAGTACTGATTACCACACTGTATTATTTAAAATGCAGTGCTAATTGCTTTTTATGTTTTCCTGTCTTTTTTTTTTTCTATCTGTATAGATTACATGCTTTTTGGGGTTGGGCTTACATGTATGGTAGACTTCCAAGTAAACACTTGAGCAGAGAGGTAGACAAATATACAGAGAAACTCATAAATCACCACACAGAAGTTGATATATTAGGCTTCCCTCACAACCAATATTTGCAGCAATTGCAGCAAGTATTGCATAAGTGGCAATAGTTCATTATGCAATACCTTTCCTTTCTTGTTTGAGAAGTCTACTCAGTAAAGTATAACACAATGAGGTGATAAGGCTAGCTACTGTAGATGATATTGCTGTGACCTCAAGTTCACATCTGTTTACAGCAAAGGCAAACAGCAACGTTAGAGGTATCAAATCCCCAAATTTAGCTGGTTTAAGAACTTCAGCACTTCAGAAACACTCTACAGTTATCTCTAAAGTCAGAAGATCTCTGAAGGTAAAAAAGATTGTGTAAGTACATTCAAAAAGCACAGCTGCTACTGTTAATTATTATTTACTGGTCGTGGATAGGTGCAAAGTACTCTGGAGTCCTGTAAGATAGCCAAGGTCCATACCCAGGACACTGCGCACACAGGCTGTCTCAGACTGGTAACAATGGTTACAGAGGCAATTTTGAAATGCTATCCGTGGCAAAAAGCAGCTCTCAAACAGTTGAAAGTCATAGAGCAAATACCTGTCATAATACTGGGGACGACAGATGCTCTTTTAAGTATATACCATCCTGTGAAACAAGTTAACAGGAAGGAAAATTGAATGTAGTTCATTCCATAGTGAAAATACCTGGAATACAAGTACTTCTGAGAGAGAGTAAAAAAACCAGCATATGAGATGGGAAGTTTGGGTTACAGACTTCAGCTCAGAAGAAGATAATTAAGGTTTTATGCTCAGCTTCTTATTTTTCATTTGACCTTTTACTGCACATTTGATCCTGCTTCATAAAATGAGATTAAAACTTAATTATTTCAAAGGCTTGATTTATTTAATGTTTGCATAAAGTTTCAAAAGACTCAGAAAACAATACAGAAATACTATCTTACATTCTTGAAGCTCGACCCAAGGTGTTTCTTGGGCACATTTTTCTTCAACATTCTTAAGGCAAACAAGTATACTTTCTTTCTGTAGTGAACCTATACCTGAAATCTCTAAGCAAACATTAAAACATTCTTATGAAAAACAAGATTTATTAAGAGAAACTGAAATGGGAGGTTCAACACCCCCTCCTCCCCAATACAGAGTAACTAACTAGTGAAATGTAAAGCATGTTATTACGGCAAAAGGTGCCTTAAATTTTGACAGAGCTGCATCTCCTGTGTGGCACATTTTCTGGTGTGTTGGACCTTTCTGGTTAGATAAGTGTATGTGCTAGTTGTCCATAAGTTTCTCATCTCTGTAACTGTTTGATCACAAATTAAATAGTTGGTTTATAAATTTATGGCACATTCTTTCTGATGAGGGCAACGTCTAATGTATATTTCCACTGCACATTCAGGAACAGATTGCTTGCTTTGGACAAACAAGTTTGACTCTTACAAAACTGTACAGTTTACAAAGATTGCACAGCAACTATCCCTCAGTTTAAATGTGCATATTATTTTCAAGACATAACATCTGCTCCAAAGACGACCCATCCTTCCTCTAGCCTAGCAACCAAATTGTTGAATGGTCTCAACTTGACAAATCAGCCTGCTTTGATACCTACTAAAATAAATGAGTTCTCCAATTCTTGTCATACATTGAAACTTTGAAATATTTAAATATTACAGGATGGCTACAATTAATTTATCAAAGCAAGTATGAGGGATCTGTTGATGTAGCTCCCTCAGTGTCTTTTCTGCAAATATCCAGATTTATAATTTCACCTGAAGAAAGGAGAAAACGGACATCACACACAGCATGCCCTTAAATGCCAGTGCTCAGCTACGACTTCTCTCCCTGAACTCTTCAAAGCCCAAGTGCCGAGCTCCCTATTTCTTTACAATAAACTTTGGCTCGCATTTAGTAAAAGATAAACCCTTCATTTTGCGGAGAAGCCCCGTCTCTGCTGGTGCCAGCGCTAACT